TCATTGCTCAGTCAGAATTCTTTATTTAACCAACCAAACTAATGGTTTATGTGTTCAACGAAATTTAAATTTATTTGTTTCCCAGAGTATATTTTTGTCTTTTTACATTTACTGTACTCACCTAGTTGTGCTTGGGGGGGGGGTTGAGCTTAGGCTCTTTGGTCCCGCCTCTCAGCTGTCAATTATCTGGTACAGGTATTCAGGTTCCTTAGCCTAATGGGCTCTTATCATATATATACATTTGAAACTGTGTATAGAGTCTGCCTCCACCACATCATGTCCTAGTGCATTCCATTTGTTAACTACCCTGACAGTAAAAAGTTCTTGCTGACTTCTCATTTGGGTTCCAAGTTTCTGCCTGTGTTCCCTTGTTCATGTACCACGCTTAATTAAAGGTCTTTCAATGGGCTACAGAAAATAATATGGTATTTAATGAAGATAAGTTCCAGCTATTGTGTTATGGAAAAAATTAAAATATAAAAAACAGAAACCATGTACAAAATGCAGTCAAATCGTAACAATGAACGAAAAAGTAATGTAGAGGGCGTACGTGTGTCGGAAGACCTTACTTTTAAAAAGACAATAAAGTAGCAGTCACAACTGCAAGAAAAATGACAGGTTGGATAACAAGAACTTTTCTAACTAGAGATGCTATACCAATGATGATACTCTTCAAGACACTAGTGCTCTCTAGAGTGGAATATTGTTGCACAATGACAGCCCCTTTCAAAGCTGGAGAAATTGCTGACCTGGAGAGCATGCAGAGATGTTTTACCGAGTGGATTCAAGCAGTAAAATATCTAAACTATTGGGACCGACTAAAGAGCCTAAATCTGTATTTGTATTCTCTTGAGCGCAGGCGGGAGAAATACATAATAATTTACACTTGGAAAATAGTAGAGGGGCTGGTCCCAAACCGGCACACAAAAATAACATCACATGAGACCAGGAGGCATGGCAGGATGTGCAGAATACCCCCGTTGAAGAGCAGAGGTGCAACAGGTACTCTGAGAGAGAACTATCAACATCAGAGGCCCGAGACTGTTTAACACGCTTCCACTACATACAAGGGGCATAACTGGCCGACCCCTCACAGTGTTAAAGAGAGAATTCAATAAGCGCCTCCAAAGGATACCTGATCAACCAGGCTGTGATTCGTACGTCAGGCTGCGAGCAGCTGCGTCCAACAGCCTGGTTGACTAGTCGAGTAATGAGGTGGCATGGTCAACGACTGGGCTGCGGGAAAGCTGAGCCCCGAAAACACCTCAAGAGAAAACTAGATAGTTTTCTTCAAGGCGTTCTGGACCAACTGAGCTGTAGTGGGTATGTAGACCTACGGGCCGCTCCAAGCAACAGCCTGGTAGACCAAACTCTCACAAATGAAGCCTGCCCTTGGGCCGGGCTTGGAGAGTAGAAGAACAATCAAATTTGCCCATAGTAGGAAAGCAACATGTAAAGGATTTGGGAATAATGATGTCTGATGACCTAACATTTAGGGAGCATAACCAAGCAAATATTGTGTCAGCTAGAAAAATGATAGGATGGATTATGAGAACTTTCAAATCCAGGGATCCCGTCACAATGGTTATAGTCTTCAAATCACTTTTGTCCCATTTTGAGTACTGCGGAGTACTCGCTTTCTCCTTCAGAGCAGGAAAGATTGCCGAAATAGAGGGATTACAGAGAACATATACGGCATACAGTGACGCGATAAAGCACCTAAATTATTGGGATCGTCTTAAAGCTCTCCAAATGTACTCACTAGAAAGAGGACGAGAGAGGTATCAAATAATATGCATGTGGAAAATACTAGAGGGCCAAGCCCCAAATCTACACAGTAAAATATCAACAAACTGGAATGAGTGATATGGAAGAAAATGCAGAATAGAACCAGTGAAGAGCAGGGGTGCCATAGGCACGATCATTGAACACTGTATAAACATCAAAGGTGCGTGGTTGTTCAACATCCTCCCAGCGACTATAAAAAATATTGTGGGAACAACTTAGGACATCTTCAAGAGAAAATTAGATAGTTTTCTTCAAGGAGTGCCAGACCAACCAGGCTGTCATGAGTAAGTGAACCCGTGGGCCGCTCCAAGCAAAAGCCTGGTGGATCCAGCTCTCACGTCAAGGCTGGCCTCTGGCCGGGCTTGGGGAGTAGAAGAACTCCCAGAACCCCATCAAGCAGGTATCAAGCAGGTATAGAGAGAGACATGCAAAGTGCTTCTGTCTCCTCTTTTATCATCCATGGTGAGAGTTCATCAGGTACAAAAGCCTTAGTCATGTCCATATCAAGCAGAGACATTCTAACCTTATCTCTGGTATTTTCAATATCTTCCAAGACTGCTTGGTTTATCGCCACCACTCTTAGTTCAGGAACTTCTCCTTGCTCTATTGTGAGACCTCTTGGAATCTCTTGTTGAGTTCTTCACAAACCTCTTTGTCATTCTGTGTGTCCCCATTCTCTCCCTTTTTCAGCTTCATCACCTGTTCTTTCACTGTTTTCTTCCTGATGTGGCTGTATGGCAGTTTTGGTTAGGTTTGTCTTTATTTGCTATGTTGTTTTCATACTGCCTCTCTGCTTCTACTGCTTTGCTGCCCTCAGGGATTGTAGGGTATGGAGCTGTTGCCCTGCTTTTCAATGGGGGTATTCTGAACATCCTGCCATGCCTCCTGATCTCATGTGGTGTTATTTCTATGTGCAGGTATGGGACCATCCTCTCTAATATTTTCCTTGTATAAATTTTTATGAAAATCTCCCGCCTGGGATCAAGTGAATACAGTACAGATTTACACGTTTTAGTTAGTCCTGTAACGTACGTTTATGTTACGTTGTTGGGTTGATTAGATACACAGTGTTTAGAGAGTTTCATATTTATTTAGTAGTCCTGGATACAGCAGTGTCGTAGATGTTGAGACGAAGCCTGGAGCAGAGCAGAGAGCTGAGTGTGGCCGGAGTCGCGGAGCTTTATGTGGGAGAGTGTTGTAGCTGGATGAGGTCGTAGTCTGCTGCCTGCTCTGTGTCGAAGCTGTAGCGTCTTGGGTCGATTAGAACTGCCTACACCGAGTACTACATTCTTGACTGGAGATTGTACTGGTTTGCTATTCTCAAATCGCTGGCTTATATACGGTGACTACACCTCACAATAAGATAGGAGGGTGGAAAAACCGTTACCTGTAATAGGGATAGGATTATAGCTTGTGTAATTAGTTATGCCATTAAGATGATGAGATAATGGAGCGAGTATAAGTTTACTCGCTACAGTCCCAATAGTTTAGATGTTTTACTGGGTGGATTCTAGCAGTAAAGGATCTCTGCACACTCTCCAGGTCAGCAATTTCTCCAGCTCTGAAAGGGACTGTCATTGTGCAACAATATTCCACTCTAGAGACCACTATTCAACTAGAGACCACTTGGCAATCTCAAAGATTTTTATGATGTGTGATGTTAGTGCTATAGTTCTGTAATTTTTTTCCTCTGCCTTATTTCCTCCTTTATGGAGTGGTTCTATCTCTGCTGTTTGTAGTATATCAAAGATAACTTCAGGATCTAAGCTTTGTCTCCAAAGAATGTGAAGGGACTGCGACAGTGTTTTTTACAGTTCTTGATGAATATGGAGTTCCAAGAATCAGGGTCTGGTGCATAGTGCATAGGCATACTGTCTATGGCTTCTTCAAAATCCATTGGGGATAGGGTGATATCTGATATATAATTTGATGTTGGCATCTCATCCATGAAAAATTCATTTGGGTTATCAAGCTTTAGTGTGTTTAGTGGCACGCTGAAAACAGTGTCGTACTAATTTTTCGGTATTTCGCTCATTTCTTTGTTATCATCTGTGAATGTTCCATCTCTCTTTCGCAGGTGCCTGATACTAGATGTAGATGTAGATTTTGATCTTGATTTTGCATAGGAGAAAAAATATTTCAGATTTCTCTTTCACTGATGGCCTTTTGCTGTCATCCATCAGCCTATCTCTTGGATTTTGTATGATTCTTGTAGCTTTAGTTCGATCGTTTCTATTTTTCTATCTACCCTTCTTTGTCGTTCTTGACTCAATTCTGGTGTACTTTGAGGCTTTTCATCTCCTTTGCAGTCTTCAGCTCGTCTTGTAGGCTGATTATTGTCTCTCGGTTGCTCTCTTATCCCCCCCCCACATGCAAATGATCATCTCAATAATTGAGTCATCTTGTCTCCAACAGTGTTTTGATGTCTCCCTTCCATGTTTGGTTCCTATTCCAATATGTAGGAACAGAGTAGGGTTGAGATGGGCTTATACCATAAGAGTCTGGGATGAGTGGGGGAGGGGGCAGGGACGGAAGAAGAGTGGGAGAGAATGAGGAAGAGTGGAAGAGAGAGGAAGTGTGGGAGAGAGGAAGAGTGAGTGAGTGAGTGAGTGGTGAGGAGGGTATAGAGTGAGTGAGTATGGTGAGAAAGAGGATGAGGGGTGGCACGAGACATGGGTGGTGGAAGTCAAGTGTGTGGAAGTCATAATGTACAAACTGTAGTTTGTACATTGTGAAAGTCAGTGTTTACTTAAATTGATTTTATTTTAATATATGTTAGATGGTGTGTTGGGCTCCTCCTCTCTGACCATCTTGTGCTTATTGACAATTCAATTCAGTTTCTTATTGACAAATAAGAAAATAAACCATGTTACCATATCAACCATGGGAAACATGGTTGTTTACTAAAAAACATCTCATCTTTGCTAAATTATTAAAACACTCAAAAACAGTATGTACAATTTCTATGCTATTAAGAATGTAAATTTCCTCCATAATTGTATCGATACTTGACAAAAATTGCAATCAAAATAGACGTGCATGTTGATCAACTTTTTGTTGTCTCTGCAGAGAATTAATGACCTGAATGAGGACTTCTGTGGAATGGATGTTAACACCCCACTGGGTGGAGAGCAGCCCGTAGAAGGTCTTGCCATCCTCACCTTCCCTACCAGACTGACAGCCGTTGCTGCCACCTCCACAGAGGTCTACACCGTCGTCTTCCTCGGTACTGCTCAAGGACACCTCAAGAAGGCAAGTCATATACACAAGTTCTTAAAGGGTGTCTATTGCATTGGATATTGCAAACATATTTTTCTCAGGTCTTGTTGTAATAAACTAATCAGTCGCAAAAAAAATGTTTTAGGACACTTGCAATAATTTTTTGTTCTTATCATTGCTATACTACAGAAGGGAAAGTAAGATTATTTGGAAAAGTTGATTAATTCTCTGTCAACAGATTATAATTCAAACAAGTATACATTATTCAAGGACGATTGTTCATTCATATTTAGCCTTCCAATAGTTTATAAAAAAGTAGAATAGGTTTATAATATATTTTTCCATCTTCTCAAGAACCAAAACATAATTATTTAGCAAAAAATGCTGTATTTGCTCTTAAATAAATTTATAATAACCAATTTGCAAGTCTATACAGAACTTGCTTCTGTTGTACATTAAAACACCTGATAGAAAAATAGGTATTCGAAGCTTATTGGGTTTTTACATTTTAGGATCTTACTTCAATACTGTTTGAGTTATACTGTAATGTTCTGAACTGCACTTTTAATGAGGTTAATATCCACAAATTGAAAGTAAGGAGGCAAATAATTTTTTTTGTTTTATGCTAGCAACACTATTTTTTATCAGGTTGTGATAGAGAATCAGAATAATGCACTGGAGTACGATGATATTGTTGTGGACCAAGATTCTCCTGTCAGACAGGACATGTACTTTGACAAAGCTGGTGACCATCTCTACGTAATGACCAGCAATAAGGTAGGCACATATATACCTATCTCGTGTCTCTAAATTCATATACTGTATACATTATATAAATAATATTAGGAAGGGATTACCACCTCTGGCTGGAAAAAGGGGACCCTTAGCCTCGGAGGAAACCACACAACACATTAGAGGTGATGTTTAGGTCCCCTCCAATACAGTTTGTGTGCTTTTCTCCTACCACCCCCTTCCTTTTTGTGTTTTTTTTATGCTTTATTATAATATTTGTATTAATAATGGTCTCCATATGGAGGTCTCTCACCAATTCTTGAAAGTCTGGTGTAGTTACAGGATGAGAGCTATGCTCATGGTGTCCCATCTCCCCAGCACACTTTGTTATATAATGCTTTGAAATTACTGACGGTTTTGTCCTCCACTACCACCTCACCTAACTTGTTCCAACCCTCTACCACTCGTCTACCACTACCACAGGAAGAGTCATTACCAGGTTGTGGCGACGACCACCAGAGTCCTGACGGTTCTCCAGGTCCAACCCAATCATGTGTTGAGATTTTTTATTCATTCAAAAGGTGACACCCTTAGTGATAACACCTGCATCAGAGGAGCTCCAGGATATTTCACAATTCCTAAGTATTGTAGTACAGGTTGATGATAGCGAGTGGTGTCCCAAGGAACATAAAGGTGTAGTGCTTTGGAAAAATAGGTGAGATAACACGAATGTGCAAAGTGAAGTGAAAATTTTTTGGAGAAAAAGTTGCCCTAGTGTTCACAGAGCGGACAGTAACATTCAAGAGGGCCCCTGGCAAGAAATAAAACAAAACAGAACTAGATTTTTGGGCTTTTAATAAAGCAAGCATTGATATAAGCAGTCTACACAACAGATTGGCAAAATTAGATGTTATAGTGAACTATCATGTAGAAATAATCAGCAAATTGAAAGAAAGTAATGAGTAGCAAAGTATCAGGTCTTGAGGGGTTAGTGAAAGACTTATGCAAGGACAAGAATCAATTGTCCTTGCATAAGCAGCTTTGTTTCATTAGTTTAAATCTATGATCTCTTGTTCTTGAAGTTCCAGGTCTCAGGAATTCTTCCCTGTCAGTTTTATCAATTCTTGTTACTATTTTGTACGTAGTGATCATATCGCCTCTTTTTCTTCTCTCTTCTAGTTTTTGCATATTTAATGCCTCCAACCTCTCCTCGTAGCTCTTGTCCTTCAGTTCTTGGAGCCACTTGGTGGCATGTCTTTGCACCTTTTCCAGTTTGCTGATGTCCTTCTTAAGATATGGACACCATACTGCATATTCCAGCTTTGGTCTAACAAAAGTCGTGAACAATTTCTTTAGTATTTCTCCATCCATGTATTTAAAAGCAATTCTGAAGTTAGAAAGTGTAGCATAGGCTCCTCACATAGTGTTCTTAATGTGGTCCTCAGGTGACAGTTCTTATCTAGAACTACTCCTAGATCTTTCTTTATCAGAATTCTTTAAAGTTTTCTCACATAATTTATTGGTTGTGTGGGGGTCTTATGTTCTCCTATTCCACATTCCATAACCTGACACTTATTCACATTAAATTCCATTTGCCAAGTGGTGCTCCATATACTTATTTTGTCAGGTCTTCTTGAGGGGCCTGACACTTGCCTAAGTTTCTTATCTTCCCTAGTATCTTAGCATCATCAGCAAACATGTTTATATAATTCTGTATTCCATAGGGTAGGTCGTTCATGTAGACAATGAACATTACCCCGTGCACGAACTGAACCCTGGGGTACTCTACTCATGACATTTCTCAAGTCAGATACATTGCCTGTGATTACTGCCCTCATTTTCATGTCAGTTAGACAATTTTTCATCCATGTTCAAAGCCTCCCTGTTACTCCTCCAGTATGTTCCAATATCCAGAAAAACCTCTTTTGTGGAAATCTGTTGAAAGCCTTATTGAAATCCAGATAATACAGTCAACCCAACCATCTCATGTAAAATCTCTGTGGCTCTACCATACAAACTGAGTACAGTAATGTCATTTTACAGGATCTTCCAGATCGATAACCAGTCTGTCTGTCTGTTATTATATAATTTTTCTCCAGGTGTTGTACTGTGAGTCATACATTAGGCTGCGAGCAGCTGTGTCTAACAGCCTGATTGACCAGACCACCAACCAGGTCGTCTGGTTGGGGACATTGATCCTCGGAATCAATGCAAGGTATCCTAACCAGAGGGATCGGTGTGATGTTGCATCATACCAGAGTGGTTGGCACTCTTGCATGCCAACCAGTAAGATTGTTGAGATCTTGCCTTGAGAAGCATCCAAGTGGAGCAGCTCAGATATATTAATGGATGATTTCCTGAAGCCCAGGAAGTCCTTTACAAACACATTTCTGCTGGTGTCTTTAATAAATTTTCTTAACCTTGCCTGAATGCTTTATATCTTCTTTGATGTTCTTTAGCCAATAATCTTTTCATTTCAACATTTTTATTTATTGGTTACTGGTATTTTTTGTATTATTACTAATTTTCTCTTAATTATTACTAACTTTTCTTATAATAATTTCCCATCCTTTTTGTGTGAGTATCATTTCTTCAAGTGTAAGTGGGTAACATGATATTAACTGATGATTTATGATGTATGTACAGCAACCTAACTTGTCCACATTTCCATTAATCAGTTTTGCTTGAATTAGAAGAAATAAAATCCATGTGCTTAAAATCATGTACAGTATCTCTCCACGTGTCTGGATTTATTCTGTATAATACACTAAATGTACCAAAGGATTTCTCATATAACATGATTGTCTTGATAGTGGCTGACTCGCATTGGAAAAATCAAATTATTAAATAAACTTGTACTGTACAAGCTATAGCACCCTAAATAAAGTGAAAATTTGATGAAATACAATGTTTTTTTTTAAGTGCACCAAGAAATCACATACTGTAGTGATGTATTAATGAGCTTGGGATTACCCAGAGCATAGGTTTGAATCCTCCTCATGGGTCCTACAGATTTTCTCAATTTTTTTTAACATGAGAATCCATAAGTTACATGAAAATGTTACATGTATTACTATAAGTGCATTATGGGTGGTCTTAATTATCACATTTTGGCTCAGGCCCCCAGTCTACCTTGCGATGATTTCAGGGCTCAGCGTCCCCACAGCTTGGTTCTTGATTGGGCCTCCTATTTAGCTTATATCTAGCTTGCCTGTATCTTGCTTGCACAAAATAATTAATACTATGAAAAATTGTGTCATCATTGGGTAAATGGAAGGTAATTTGGTAAGATTACCAATAAAATTGAAGACAAATTTGTTACGTATTGATAAACGGCATATACAGTATATATTATTCCTACACCTTGGTGCCTTGCTAATTATCCAATCAGTAGTGACTTCTTTCCAAATAATATCCCCAGTTTCTGAATGCAGGAATGAGTGGGTTAAAGAATCACAGGCAAATAGAAGCACCACTGGTCACCAAGAAATAATAATAAGCTTAGAAAAATCTATGAACGGTGGCAACACTCGAGTATTTCTCAGTATAGTATATTAATATTCACACTTACCCATGATTGATCCATTAGTACAAGAACTAATGTACTTTAAATAAGTAAGAGCACAAATTACATTACCAGCATTCACAATATAATAACTGAACAAGGGAACATAAATACTTAAAGGTAAATACTGTAAATGAATGAATGATGATCACATCCTACCTCTAGTAAATTCACAGTGCCAATGAGGCATTTAAATATAAGCAGGAAAGCAGGAAAGCAGCTAAGCAGTTTCCCTCCTAATGTTGCCAATTACATCAGCTTGATTCTTTAACATATCAATTAAATATTTTCATTAAGTAATAACCTGCAGTCACCTACAGGTATAAACATGACAGCTAACACACAACTTTTCTCTAATACATGACAGTTATCTGAATATAATATTTCCCAGCGTGTGTGTGTATATAATTACCAAGCAGGAGAAGCAACAGCATTGCCCCTTTCCTCTGACTATTCTAGCTGTCACTAACGGACACTTGGATAGAATCATGAGGTGCCTGTATCTCAGATAATTAATTACTTCCTAACTCTTTGTCTACTTTACCTGGATATTACTACATATTGATCACAACTCAACTCTTTGAAGTTCCTATGCAAATTTGCCAACCTCTTGTAGATTGCCACATAACTCTGTGCACCTGTTATTTCTCTCAACTGAATTTACTTAGGCCTTCATATATTTGTATCTCATATATAGGATATTATCTATTAATCACTCATTCTTATATGCCATATTGTAATAAGAATGTAAATTCATGCAAACTAAAGATATTCAAATGAAACATAAGCCTAGACTCTAAATTATGGATACGTTTTGCCATCAGTAGTTATTCAACTTCCATTTGCATACTCAAAATGATAAATTTGCATTCAGCTTGTCACTTTACCAATGTCTTAAATTAATAACTTGTGCTGCATACTAGTGGCTTTACTAAATATGTTTTAGGTACTGTATAACTATTCAAACTCAGTACTGTGGTGTTCTGTATATTTTTTGAATAAAAATTATTATGTATGTAAGTTAAACCAGTGATTTCAAATTCAAGTTTGACTGTCTTAGTTTTTTTTTAGATACAATAGTTGTTACATTCTTGTACAGCCACTAGTACACATAGCGTTTCGGGCAGGAGTTATTGAGCCTTAGTGGGCCTTGACTAGCTCAGTCATAACAGTGGACAGATTGCCTGTACACTACTTGTCAAAATTTTAAAATAAATAAAATAATAATAAATGTTTATTTAGGTAAGGTACATACATAAAGAGATTTTACAAAGTTTGTTGGATTAATAAATAGAGCTAGTACATACAATGCCTAAAGCCACTATTACGCAAAGCGTTTCGGGCAGGAAAAACATTAATGACTAAAGCTTAATACTAATGGGTAAAAGGAATAAAATGTGTTGAGAACAAATAAAAATAGAGGTAAAAGAGGGGGGAACATGGCTGAAAAAGCAGCACAAATACAATTACAAATTATTGCAGAAAATTACATTCAAACAGCGTTGTTTTGAAAAAAAAAAAAAAAACATACATGGGTTGACAACAGAGGGGTAAGGTAGGTTACAGGGAATTTATTAGGTAGTGCTTCGTTTTTAACTTAAACTGGTTGAGAGAGATACTGTCTTTAACATGGTTGGGAAGATCATTCCACATTCTGGTCATCCCTTGCAAATGATATTCCATCTTCCAGTACTGATGTTAAGGACTATCTTACAGGTAACTATCCACAGTCTCTGTACCTAAGTCATACTACTGACCTTTCCCACGTAATGCAATCCACAGTAGTTGCCTAGCTCTTAGATACCTATTTGCTGCCAGATGAACAATTGCATCAGGTGAAAGGAAGCTTGCTCATCCATTTCTGTCCCACCCGGGGATTGAATTCTGGATCCTTGATTGAGAATCAAGAACAGAGACCACTGTATAACTACATTTAGTTGCCTTTAGGATCAACAAATGACACGGTAAAAGTTGTATGTCCGAGATTACTTGTACAGTATGTTGAACCACAACTGTGCGCAGCTGGCTAGGACAGGTGTGAAAGCCACTCACAGCAGTTATCAAATAATGTAAAATGCCCAAAGCAACGGCACAAGATCATGTGGGGATCTTGTCAGATATAGGTCGGGTTGGATCTCTACCTGGTGGTGCAGGGAGATCAGAGTAATGGGTAACATCAAATTTATGATGGGCTAGTATAGGCAGAGTATCCAGTTTTTTGAGATTGAGTTGGCAAAAGTTTGCATTATGAGGGAGAAAAGATTTCCTGAAACACCACTTGCCTAACATACAAATTTATTCACTAAAATTAGAACATAAAACAAAAATGTATATATATATATATATATATATATATATATATATATATATATATACACAGGGAAATGGGATAATTGTCCCTACTTTACAAAGTGTCTTAGGTAAATCTACACAGTACTGTCTCGACAGTATTATTCTATCGTCTCTTGACGATGATACCCAGGTGATGTATTGCACCCTAACCTTAACACTGGTAACAATGACCACATCAGCCATAACGGCTGCCTAACACCACTGTCGTATGCAAAAAGACAATTTGGAGCTCAACTTTGATGCTCGGGAAATTAAATTACATGCACAATGTAAAGACTGAAGTGTTGGAAAATTCATTCACAAATGCATGCATGGTGAAGGCCAGCACTCCGTGGGACATTTTGCTTTGAATGGGATAACCAAACTGTCAAAAACCATCTGCCAGGCTCGCTGGGTTGCAATTAAGTCGCAAAAAATCACAATCAGTTATGTACATGAAATAAATAAAATTTACACACTCAACAGTACAGCATATTCATTCAGCATGCTCTGCTGTCATCAATGAATGGGGAGGTGTCTGGAATGAGTACTTGCAGCTGTTGGGACGGCTACAAGTCAGTTGTGACAGTCCTCTAGAGCTGAAAGGAGCACAGTTCTTGTGCCTTGAACAGTTCCCAAGTGAATGAGGAGGAGAGCTGAAGCTAGAGCAGGCAGTCTCACACTATAGTCATTTAAGTAAAAGCATACAAACAGAGCACCAATCAGATTGCTGTTTCAACCATACACAAGCATTTGATTGGCTGAAGTCTGGGCTTTACTGGTGTGGTGGGGAGAAGAGAGGCAGGGAATTATCAGTGACTGTTGGGTGGGTCAAGTCAACTGAGCGACCCGGGCTGGTACCCGCTACACTCAACAGCAGAGTTTGGGGTGAAGCCCTTCCTTCTCCCCAATTAATATACAAGCTAGTTGTTTAAATTGCTCTCTTCTAGTATAACCAAGCATCATACATCACCACACAAATGATTTCTGAAATACCCATGTGAATCTCAATCCATAGACACCTGACATGATATACTTGCTGTATGATAGGCAAATACAAATGCTCAGTGCACAGAAGTGCACAGCAGCCATAGGGTACAAGACTAGCTGAGATAACACACAATCATGTAATATGATCTACATCTTCTTGAGGTTATCTTGAGATGATTTCGGGGCTTTTAGTGTCCCCGCGGCCCGGTCCTCGACCAGGCCTCCACCCCCAGGAAGCAGCCCGTGACAGCTGACTAACACCCAGGTACCTATTTTACTGCTAGGTAACAGGGGCATAGGATGAAAGAAACTCTGCCCAATGTTTCTCGCCGGCGTCTGGGATCGAACCCGGGACCACAGGATCACAATTCCAGCGTGCTGTCTGCTCGGCCGACCGGCTCCCTACATGGAGCTACATGGTTGTAAATTATGTAAATCTCTCAATATATATATGATTTTTGGCAGTTTGTGAGGAAGGTTGTGGCTTCAGTGACAGGGTCACTGAAGCACTACTGCACTACTGTCTCGACTCGTTTTTTTTTTCATTCTTTACCTAATCTATCCACTCTATTTTATTATAATTTATGTAATGTAATTAATACAGGTACACTGTTTTTAATGCCACTAGCTATTGATAATTGTAAAATGCTGGAGTATTGTTGCCACCCTTTGACAAGGCAAATGGCAGGTGTTGCCAAATCTTTGATAATGTTAATATGATTTTGTCTATAAAATCCATGCAATCCCACTTTAAAAAGTAAAGGACAGGAGAAATATAATTCTCATTAACACATGACTCTCAAATGATGTTACTGTATACTGATGTCACAAATGACATCAGTATACATTGATCTAGATAAGGAGGGTTACATAGTGTACTGCATAATTGTTACGAAAGCCTCTCACTCACTCACTCACTCACTCGCTCACAATCGATCAGTCCTCATACTTTTGCCACATTTGAATGTTTGCATCTTAATATTACATTTTTGACTTCTGTGTTATTCTCACCTTGTACAGTATTAATAAAACAATTCCCATTTTGATATAAAGTATATATACTGTACTGTATTTTAGTGGGCCAGCCAGAGGCTTAGGGCCTGCGCAGGAATATCCCTGCAAAAAAAAAAAAAAAAATGTACTGTATTACTGATTGATAAATTGTTACTATTGCAGATTTCTAAAGTGAAGGCTCAGGAATGTAGCATATATGAAGGGTGTAATCAGTGCTTGGGTGCAAGGGATCCTTATTGTGGATGGTGCTCATTAGAAAACAAGTGTTCTTTACGACGTGACTGCCGCGATGCCACCCAGGACCCGCAGCACTGGGTTAGCTACAAGACTGGCCGCTGCACTACCATCACACAGGTTATGCCAGACAAGCTACAGAGGACCACAGCTCGTACAGTGAGTTGTTCATGTTGGGTTTTTATCCTCTAATCTATTTTTGCATAACACTTTGTACACATTTAATTTGCTGAAGTTTATTTGTACATGAAATTTATTAATTTATATATACTGTATTGTATATACTAAAGTCCAATATTATGAAAGGTCTTTAACACAAATATATAATAAGTTACTTATTCCTGTGAAAATGGTATTTATATATTATTTTACTGTATTTAAACAGCTGTCCTTGATGATTGACAACTTACCATCAGTTGAGGGAACTCTCCAGTGTGTGTTTAGTGCCATGGGTAAAGACCTGAACACAGAAGCTAAGCGCACAGCCCAGGGGGTGTCTTGTACAACCCCAAGAAATGACATGCTACCAGATATACCCCAGAATGAACGTATGTCTCATCGATATGTTTAGTATTTGTTAATTGTAAACAAATAAATTCTAAGATTAATTTCTAAGCTATTTTGTCTCAGACAAGTGCATTTCAATTTAGGAAAATTTAGTGTAGGGCTTACTAACCTATAATTTCTTAGCTGTGTACATTTTGGCCAAGGACATTTCAAAACCCAACAGAAGTTCATCAAGCTAAAATAGCCTGAGCCAAAGTATCCACAACAAAAATTCCAGGATAGAAGAGGAAATAGATGCTTCACTTATCAGTAAGCACAACAAAAATAGTAATCAATCTTAGATTTAAAACATCATGGGTAAACATTAGCTTTTACTGTCATATTACCGTTAGTCAAGTGAATTTTTTTTTTTTTTCAACTACCCAAATACCTTACATACATACCCCACTGACCTCGAGATGATTGTCATTGTCACCATCATTCATAACAATGTCAGTAGAGTATGTGTTAACCTAGGTCTAATAAGAGGCATAAGGCCAGGGAAGAATACTGATGATTACTTTGCATCTGATACATTAACATTGGTCAGAGCAGTGTGTGTGTTTACCTGTAGCATGCAAAATTTACTCTTCCTGGCTTAGGGCTTTCTCCTGATTACCTAACCTTTCCTTTGTAATATATCCTTGTCTCAAGCCATTGGGCATTGATTGATTTACTCCAGTTATATTGTGTTAGGCAGCACAAGTTGTAGGTATTATGAAACATCTGTTGATGTTTGGCTAAGGATCCACGTATAATAACCTGTTGCTTTAGTCTGTCTAAACAAACTTTTAAACTATTGAATTTTTACATTATCAGGTTGTTGCTTATCATACAACACTTTATTATTTAAATATTTATGACTGGAATATTAAATTTAATCTCGTGCAGCTATCTTTTATAATTTGTATACAGTACATACAGGTAAATATATTGCTAATTGGAAATAAAATGTGCATTAACAACTACACTATTTGCCATTTCCTCCTTGGCTCCAATTGCCGTAAGGGATTTTCCCCATTTGATTCGTTAACTACTATTTTTAAACATGCACACCTCGATGTGCATGTTGAGTACCTATACTCACACCTTGAGTACAGGTACTCAAAGTATCTCTATTTTGAATATCTTTGTCATGTGAGGGTTAAAACATCTATAGTCAATAAATATATATAATATTTATTTTGACCAAACATTTAATGAGATGTGAGAGCTGAACATAACCTAGTCGTGACAAACAGTACTATACAGCTATATGGGAAGTTGGCATGTTGGTTATCTGAAGGTTATATAAAAGATTGTTTACTATAATAAAATTAGTATATGCTACTGTCTTCATAATTCATACTCATTTTATTGCCTTACTGATGTATGCTTATTCTTGCCTTGCAGATCATTTTACGGCCAAGCTGTCTGTCCGCAAGTCTGAGGGACCCGAGTTTGTATCTACTAATTTCACTTTCTTTGACTGCAACACATACAGCTCCTGTACAGAGTGCGTTTCCTCTCCATTTCCTTGTGATTGGTGTGTTGATGGGCACAGGTGCACACACGACTCTGCTGAAAATTGCAGAAATGATGTGTTGGTCAACGGCGTTAATGTAAGTTTTGCTAAATATTATACTTGCATGTATTCCTACTCAAAGAGAGCATATTTGGTTTGCATGAATTTTAACTTCAATTTCTACTTGAGCAATAAAGAAATGTGTTAATGTAGATGGGTAAGCAGAACTGTATCAGGGTGTTGTATAAACACATTTGAACTTGCATGCATTTTGTTTGATGTACTTGACATATTTTCAGCGTGTTGGCCCAAGCATCAGAAGCGGGCCGTCCTTTTGTCCTCGAATCACATTTGTGGAAAGTCAAGAAATTTTGGTGTCTTCTGGTACAGATAAATCCATCAAAGTGAAGGTGGATAATATTGCTGTAAGTATTAAATCATATTACTGCTTGTGTTTAAGTATTATGGTATGCTGATACCCATCAGCATTACAGGGAGTATGAGGCATCTAAGATGGGGTACAGTACCATGTGAAAACATAAGTAGATGAATTACAGCAACTGAGAAACTTAGAAGAATTTTGTTTAACAAAGCTATTTTTTTAATGTGAAATTTTAAGGTGAAATAAAGAAAAAGGGTAGAAAAGCCAATAGGACTAGAAACCCCTTAGACAATGGCTTATGACATATGATTCATAAGGGTTTGTCGAGGTACGCCTTGTCTCGTTTGATAATTCTCTCTCTTCAAATTGAACCCCTAAACTGCGCAAAACTTCATATGAAGCGTCACCTTGAGCTCAGTTTTTAAATTTTCTGAAACTCTTTCAAATGTTTCGTACATAATCTATTAGGCAAATGGTCCAACTTTGTCTAAATGATACCAGTGTAACTTGAAAAACTAGAAAATAATTATAAAATTGAGTATTAAAAACTTCAGATTTTGAAATCAGCTGCAAAAATATAAAATATCACCAGTTGTTCATTTGGTGTTATTATGCTCTCAGAATAGCATATGATCTTCAATTTCATATATTTAGAATATAGATTTTCAGTATAGTTTACTGTAATTTTTTTTTGTCAATATGGCATTTGAAATATGCACAAATTTAGACAATAAAAATTTATAATTCCAAACGTTTTGAGTTTATGAAAAATCAATTCTATTGGGATTGTAGAACAGACAACTATGCACACTATATGTAAAAATGGTGAGAATCGGTCAGAAACAAGATCTTTGGATACTGAAGTAAGTTGAAATTCTAGTAATAGATATGCTGCAATTGAAGTTGAAGTTATCGACAATGAATAAGGCAGATATAATTCATGAATTTACTTGCATGTTTTAATAAACATTGTTTGGTATTCATACTCAAATATGTGGAAGTTGTAGATCAAAATATGTTGACATGAAGAAAAAAAATAACCCCCCAAAAAAACAAAATATAGGGATAATTATAATAATTATACTGATTTAGGGGATATATTTAGGGTATAGTTTATATAAGTCAAAAAGCCCTAATCTGGTCCTTAATCATCAAAACAACCTAAAGAAACAAGGAAATAGAGTTTGAAATCTGTGAAAAAATCAGCCAAAAAAAATTCCAAGTCCCAAGCTCTGAGAGTTGTGACCGACTTATTTGTTGACCAATTTAATTGTGTCTTCACATAGTTAGGGATGGGTATACACTCTCCAGGATGTAAAGGGTACAACAAATTGTGTCTTCACATAGTTAGGGATGGGTATACACTCTCCAGGATGTAAAGGGTACAACAAATTGTGTCTTCACATAGTTAGGGATGGGTATACACTCTCCAGGATGTAAAGGGTACAACAAATTCAAATAATAAACAAAGGAGGGAAAAAACTAAAAACCTAAAAAAAAATATTTCCCCTAAAAAAAAATATTGTTTGGACATTGTTGAAAGTAGCTGATAATAACTTTGGGCAATGTTTTTATATGATATATAGCAAAATAGAGCATAATAACATACTTACTCATTATTATTTGTGTTATGTATTACTCTCAAATGCTATAAAGGCACCAGCTGCATATCCACTTTGTGGACATGTCTTACTACTATTTTTCTTCTTTGTGCGTTGAACAGGTTCTTGCATCTCTTAATTATTGCATTATCCATCAGTTCCAGTTAATAGGAGCTGTTTTCTTTATCAACAAAACGTTCTTTTTCTGTGGAGAGCCCCTGCGGCTCCCCGGAGCTATACCTGGCTGATATGTACTCACCTAATTGTGCTTGCGGGGGTTGAGCTTTGGCTCTTTGGTCCTTATATGTTAATATGTATATATTAGACAGTGGCAAGTCAATCGAAGGAGTTCAAAGCCTACCGAGGACCAGAGCCAGAACCTGGCTGCCTCAAGAGAGGCACGTGGATCAATGGCCTAAAGCCACCCCTGTGTAATTGGAAGCAGTCTTTGTCTGCCATCTATCAGCTCAGGCACCCAGAAAGGTAGGAATCTCAAAACAAACTACTGCTGATCAAAAATTGCAAACAGAACTCCCCACAACTGCTGCGCATCCATCTGCACAACCCCCTGCCTCCCGGGGGTGGGGGGTGGGGGGTCCCAGAACTCCATGCTGGCAACTCTCCTCAGTTCAAGAGGCTGTTGTGTTGGTGACGGGCGATCGCTCTGGCTCCACTCTTTGCGCAGTGCTGCAGTGCAGTGTTGTTGCTCTGTTTTGGTGGCATGTGAGCTTGAAGCAACACAAGAGTACTGGAGCTGCATGCACCAAGGGTTACCTTCCCGAGGTGCCCTGTAAGTACTGCCTTTGCGGCCTCGGGGTTATTTTCCATGAGCCATTCAGGAGCAGCTAACTCCATGTGGTTCTGTCGCTGCTTGGTGATAGCCCGCCCTTGGGGATTCAGCTGGGGAGGTTCTTACTCCTGTTTGCCCTTAGGTAGGAGGTAGTTTCGTCACCGGCTGGGGCGCGAGGTACTGTGCAGCTGTCAGATATACGCATAGCGACAGGTTCTGTTCACCTGGAAACGTTATGCTTTTGCGGGATTTTTCTTTTGTTTTTGTTTTGTTTTGCCTGGTGGTGGTCTGCCTGGTGTGGCAGTAGGACCACTTGTAGGATTTTGGTGGCCCTCCACTAGGTCCCTGTGCTTGCACACATCGCAGGGGTTCAGCTTTTAATTGTTTGCTTGATAACTCTGGGATAACCGGTTAGCAGTATCTCTTGCTTGATAGCTCTGGGATAGCCGGTTAGCTGTACCTCGCCTGGGCTTCCCTTAGCAGTCAGCCTAAGGGCCCTGGAAATTCCCTTTGGGGCTTAGTGGTCCAGTGTAGGAGACCTCTGAGTCCCACCTCGCCTTGTGTGAGTATGAACTTTGCTCTGTCCCCTTGTCTCAGGGTGACACTCACTATCTGCCTCCCTCCGCCTTGCGGCCTGTTAGGGTCAGTGACACCTATGACCCAGAGTACTGCGAGTGGTGTTCTTTGCTTGTACTCCATTTACCCAGTCCACTGAGACTGATATTCGGGTGCAGGCAGATTTAGCGTTGCATGCGAGGTTGGTTGCTTTTCTGGATACCCCGCAGCTGCCCCGCTGAATTATACTGGTAGTGAGACTCGGGCGGCTTCGGGGATTGCCCCTTCCGGATCGGCGGCAGAGGCATTCAAGCATGGTCCTCCTGCCTGGGCCATGCCAGCGGGCCCCCCTTCATTCCTGCTTTTCCAGTGGACTCTGCTTTTTCTCAAGAGGCAGAGAGTTTGGAGGATGGCTCAGTCCCGGGTCCTGACGTGGAGGATTCCGAGGCTGGGGAGGCATTGTCTTGGGGGCCCTGGGCCCCCACTTGTCTTTGCTTGGGTATTTGGTACCCTCAGTGTGGGGCTTGTTGTTACAGGGGGAGAGGTTTTCCTATCCCCTCCCTGTACCATTTTGTTACAAGTCAGACTCCTCCCCGGCTTCGGTTCCAAGTTCCCTTGGGTTCTTTGGTTCCCTCCTTCTGGGGGTTTTTGGCTTCCCGCATCCCACCAAGGAAGGTGTGGGAGGCCCTTTTGGCTTACCTCCTGTGAGACCCAGATTATGCCTTGATAATGAAGCCACCGCCTTTTGAGTTCGGCTCCTCTTTTTTCTTAATGGGTGCGTTGCAAGGTGCCAGAGTCTTCCTGGCTGGCAGACTGCCTCTTCTTTTGTTGGGGGGCTTAGCATTCGTCCTGTCAAACTGCGCACTTAGCGAGAGTTGACTACGGCCCTTCAGGTTTCCTGAAGGGCAAGTTGGAGCACCTCAATGCGTGCTTGTTTGCCCCCATCCTTCCTTATGATGTCGGCCAGGTGCGGCTTCACATGCAGGTTTCCTCCTTTTTGGCATCCCTGGTGGCCGAGGATTTGGGCACCCATGGGTACTTGGCTTCGATCTTGTGTTTCTTTTCCGTGTGTGTGCTGTCTTTGGACTGGCTCGTGGTGGGTGGGGAGGAGCTGGGTTGCAGGCCAGTGTCTGGTGTGCTTGCTTCGGCAGCTCGGGCGCTGGCTGCCTTGTTGAAGTTGTATGCGCCGTTTCTGAGGGAGGCGGTGTTTGTTCTTCGCTTCTCGTCTTGCGTGCTGACAGGTGGTGCTCGTCCTAATTTTTCGAGCCATTTTGGGCCCTGACTTCTTTTTTATCCCCTTTTGTCTGTTGCTGTTTGCAGAGTTTGCGGTGGTGCATTTTCTACAGGCAGCTTCGTCTAGTTGACCGTCTATATCAAACTTGTAGATTCTCCAGGGTGGGGGGGGCGCCTGGAGGTCCTGTCTGGAAGGGTCGCGCCAGGTCTCAGGGTTCCTTCGGTTGTCGTAAGCCAGTAGTGCCAGATTCGGGACTGGCCCTCCTGCAGAGTCGTTGGCTCAGTGATTGCTCTGAGTTTGTTGGGCTCTCGTAAGGGTCGTCGGCCCTTTCACTGATCGCCCTGTTGGCGGGGTGATGGGGGGGGGGAGGCTCACTCTGTTTGTTCTTGCCTGGTCCCACGATTTGTGGGCAATTCAAGTCCTTTTCCTCCGGCCTGCGGTAGTGTTGCTTCTTTCCTTCTCCTTTGGGGGGATTGGGGCTTGCAGGATGGGCCTCTTCCCCTGCGCTCTGTCAGGTCAGCCTGGAGTGGGTTTCCTGCCTGTCTTTAGTTCCGAAACAGGACTGGACAGATTTGTGATTCATACTGGACTTGCCCTGTATGATCCCATGGGTCTTTTGCCCCTCCTTTCAGATGTCCACTCTGTCTTGGGTCCGGCTGCTTTTGGCGCCTGGATGGTGTGTCTGGACCTCCGGGATGTATATTAGCACGTACCGATTCATCCGGTGTTCAGGGATTGGCTCTGTTTTGTCAAGGAGTGACACTGCTTTCTTTGCCTTCCTTCCAGTTGGATCTGACACCTCGCGTGTCCACGTGCTTTAACCGGATCGAGGTGACGCTGTTGTTTATGGCTTACCTCGACAATTGGCTGGTGTGGGCTCCCAGCCAATCCGCGTGTCTGCTTGCCAGGGATTTGGTTCCTTACCAGCTCGCCGGGTTCGTGTTCTTGGTGTACTGGAAGTCCCAATTGGTTCCCTCTCGGGTACGGACTGGGCTGGGGTCTCGTGTGGGACTCTCGAACCGCTTCCTTGTCTCTCCCTCTGGTGACATTGTTGCGGCTGAGGTCCCTCTTATGACTGTTTTTGGATGGCATCCGGGTCACACATCGGTTGTTTGAGCGGCGGTGCAAGAGCCTGATTTTGGCAGTGCTGGTCTACCGGTGGAGTTCAGATCTGGCTACGGCGGATGTTATGGTTCTTCGGGGGCGTCCCTTCCGCTGCTCTCGTGATCGCTGTGTTCGGATCCCGGGAGCCTTGTGTCGGCTGCTGGGTCGCCGGCTTCCTCTGAGGTTTTTTTCAGGGTTATAGGCCCTGATGCCTCCCCGAGCCCTCGCTCGATGTGTTCACGGATGCCTCGTCTTTCAGCTGGGGTTTTGTGACCATTGCTCACCAGGCCGGCCAGAGTCGGTGGGATCCGTCCTCCTGTCGGGCTCACAGCATGGCGCACTTTCACGGTGGTGTGACATTCACTTCAGAGGGTTCGTGTTGCTCGTGGAGCAATGGTCCGGCTCCATTCAGACTGCTCCTCGGTGGTTTATTGTCTGAACTGCGGGGGTTCGATGTGGTCCTTGGCTCTGGGGCTGGTCACTTCAGGTGTCTCATTTGCTGAGTTCTCAGGGTTTGGTTCTCCTGGCGGTTCACATTCAGGGGGTGTCAGATGTACTGGCGGATGGCCTGTCTTGGTTCATTCCCCTATCTGTGGAATGGACAGTCGACACTGACTCGTTCAGTTAGCTTTGCCGGACATACGGGCACATAGAGGTGGACCTCTTTGCATCGACTTAGTCGAGACGTCTTCCAGTGTATGTGGCGCCCTTCCAAGACTGCGTGGCCGTCAGGGTCAATGCCTTTCGGCTGGACTGGTCAAGTTGGGGTTACCTGTACCTCTTCCCACCGGTACGGTTGTTGCTCCGGGTTCTAGTTAGCTTAGAGAGAGTTACAAGGGATGAGTGGTCCTGTTGACTCTTTGGTGGCCGGCCCAGCCCTGGTTTCAGGTGCCTCTTGCTCAATGTCTAAACTCCAGGGTCTTCCCACAGCTCCGCCTCTTTCAGCAGATGGAACCATTCCAGTACGTAGCTGGTTCGATCTTCTCTGCTTCTCGCGTCTGATCTTTTTGACGCTGGTTTATCACCACTTGTATGGTGATCAGATGACTTGGTGTCCTACCTGCAAGTTTCGTCTCGACGGCAGTATGAAATTTCCTGGTAGCCTTTTTGGCACTTGTCTCTTCGTAGGTTATCTTCGATTCTGGTCGGTTTTGTCCTTTCTCTCTCGGTTATTTTAGGACCGTCGTCTTATGCTAGATACTGTCGCCTCGTTTCAGGTGGCGCTGGCGGAGGCACTGCAGCTTCCATTTGCGGTGGATGTCACTTCTGCTCCGTTCTGCAAGCTTTCTTGGGCGTTGTTCACCTCTGGCCTGCTCATGTGCTGCCTGAGCTGTCCGGATCATTGTACGGGGTGCTCTCTGCTCTCTTCTCCTCGGTTTGGGGGTGGCCCCCTCCGGCACAGGGCCCCCTCTGGCTCTTTCAGTCCTGGTGGCCTTTTCTTCGTTTGCAGCTGTCTCCTTCTTTTCTGGCGAAGAATGAGTCTGCTGCTTTCCGGAGGGGTCCTTGGGTTGTTGATACTTGGTTGGTTCGGCCGGGGGGGGTGCATCATGTTATGTGTCTGTGGCTCTTTGCTGTCATTTGTGCGTTACGTCCTCGGTGGCAGGGGACACGCTTTGGGTTGACCCAGTTTTCCCTTCTAACCAAATTCAGGGTGCGGGTCTCCCAGGTTGTCCTCGGGATTATTCAGTCCAGCCAGCCTGCGGTCTTTCCCCGTGCCCACGCCATTCATAAGTTCGGCATTCGGCTGCTGCTTTGGTAATGTCCTGGCCTATCTTTTGGGCACTGGGCTATTGGAGGTCGAACAGGGTCCTGGCTGCACGTTACCTTGTTAATGTTTCTAGTCCTTCTCGGGCGTGTATAACCTTGGGTCGCAGGTTGCGGCTTGTTGTCTCGACTTTGAGACAACTCTCGTCACCCAAGCGAGTGACGACAGCCTCCCATGTGAGTCCCTTTTTTTCTTATCTTTGGTTGGGTAGCTCCGGGGAGCCGAAGGGGCTCCCCACAGAAAACCAGCATTGAATGTAATGAAACACCATTTTCTGGGTGAGACCCGGAGGCTCCCCGGCATCCCTCCCTCCCTCCGGTCGCCAGTTTTTCGCGTTTTTGATACTCGGCCTCTGAACTTACGAGAATTGCCAGCGTGGAGGTCTGGAACCCCCCGTCCCCCTCCTGGGGAGGGGGTGGGGGGTTGTGCAGACGGATGCGCAGCGGTTGTGGTGATGTCATGATTGTTTCCTTGTTTTTGATTGGGGGTTCTGTTTGCTAGTTTGGCTTTTGGTTTGCAATTTTTGACTAGCAGTACAGTAGTTTGTTTTGAGATTCCTACCTTTCTGGGTGCCTGACCAGGTAGATGGCAGACCAAGACTGCTTCCAATTACACGGGGGTGTCTTTAGGCCATTGCTCCTCGTGCCTCTCTTAAAGGGGCCAGGTTCTGGCTCTGGTCTCCAGTAGGCTTTGAACTCCTTCGATTAACTGTTGACATGGTCTAATATATACACATCAGCCCAGTATAGCTCTGGGGAGCCTTTTGGGTCTCGCCTCGAAAATGGCGTTTCATTAATTCAACGCTGTTTTTTTTTAATTATGCCCCCTTATGCTGAGCAGTTTAAGGTTAAGGAAATTGTGATTTGTATTGAAATTCCTATAATTATCAAGATTTGAAATTTTTCTGGCTATCATCTAAAACTAATATTAACATTACTGTATTGTATAAAGGTCATAAATGTAAGAATTTTGGAGCATGTGGCGAGTTGTACCTCTGGTTTTCTAGTTACAATAACTCGGGCAAAATCATCAGTGGAAGAAACCGCACCTACAATTTTTTGTAGGTGCGATTTCGCACCTACAATTACGCTGTAGTGTTTGTAGCTAGACAGGACCCAAAAATATGGAAAACAGCTTTCCTAAATTTATCCCAATTCAATGCTTGTAGAGAAAGACAAGGGGCCAGATCCACGAAGCAGTTACGCAAGTACTTATGAACGTGTACATATTTCCTTAATCTTTGATGGCTTTGGTTACATTTATTAAACAATTTACAAGCATGAATACTTGTCAATCTACTGTTGTTATTGTTATAAACAACCTACTGGTGCTTGGGAGCTCATTGACTGTTTAATAATTGTAAACAAAGCTGCCAAAGATTGAGAAAAGATGTTCAGGTTCATAAGTGTTTGCGTAACATCTTCGTGAATCTAGCCCAAGATTCACCAGCGAGAGACAACCTGTCCTCTCACTTGATACATAGCATTTTGAATGGAATCAACCAATCTGTTAAAATGTGATATATTAATACAAATTAAAGCCATATAAGATTGACATTTTACTGTGCATCGTCCTCAATTGGTTAGGTGGGTTTCTTGGGTTCACACACTTTTTTTTTTATCCAGAGAACTGGCTGAAGTAAAAGATTCTTCTCTTGGTTTATCTAATACACAGATACATTAGCCAACTGAAGCCAGTCTCATTCATGCTCATTTTTCATAATTATCATTAAATAAGTTGCATCATTATTGCTCCACTTCCTACTTCAATGGGTGTGATGATGCATCAGCCTGAAGAAAATATGTGTAGGAAAAAGTAAAGATGTTAAAAATTGCATACATCTGTTCACCATGCAATACACACAACATAGTATTATAGTGAATCAGAACTCCGTCGCTTCAAAAAGTTACTTGTTGCATCTTTTTGTAATTTCTTGTTTATTAAATCTTGTTTACTTTATTTGCAGCAATTCATCACTCAAACTAGATTTGTATGCCAGTTCAACATTGAAGGAAGAGTGACAAGTGTCAATGCTAACCTGCTGAGTGACACAATATACTGTGACAGGATGGAATTTGCTTACACAACAGCAGCTCCATCTACAAATGCTACATTTGCAGTGATCTGGGGAGGCTCAAAACCTCTGGACAATCCAGATAATATTCACGGTGAGTACTAAACAAATTTCTTCATTTGCTTTAAATTGCTGTAGGACAGCATCTGCTGATATCCCTCTTCCTCCTTATAGACTTTATTTTTTTTGTTTAGTTATTTTAGCAAAATATATGTAAGAAGCCAGTAACCTAAAGCCTGTTGATTATAGAGCAATATCTTTTATGGAACCTTGTGTACGGGATAGCAGGCAAAATCATGATACCTTCTGAGTGGAGAAGTTATGCAGTGAGGTGCCAGGAGAAGAAACAGAAATGTAGGTAATTACTGATCTACTTGTGGTCAAAGAAGGAAGTTCATTTCTGTGCCCCACCTCTCTTAACCATCAGTTCATAGGTGTGGTGAATAATAACTTCATAAGTAGCAAGTGCACATATTTACGTTTAAATCTGTGTATGGTTTAAGCCTTGGATTTCACTCATTTGCTAACATATTGAAGAGTTTCTTGGATTTCTCTAGATCATTAAGGTTTTCAATTTGTATTTACCTACTCACTCAGGTGTCACCCATTACAGACGGCTCATTTTTACTTACGTTGTTGTTTACAGTATCTTCAAGAGTTCTTTGGTGAGAGTCTTCAGGACTGTTGTTTCATTTACTGGCCTTTCATTTGCTGCTGAGATTGTGGTGTTAGTCTGTGTGCCTCGGATAGCCTCTGTGCTATTACAGCATTTACTCTGTGTAATGTCCCCTCCCAAGTCCATATCCCTCGCTGACTATACGTTTTCTCTCTTACAGAATGTATGTGTGTGCACACCCATGTGCGTGTGCATGTAAGGGTAGAATGAAAGACAAATTAATAGAAAAAGTATTCTATATAATTTCTTCTGTCGTAGTGTAATCTGCAACATATAATCATGATTTTTAGTTATCACTGATTTTCTATATTTAAATTTGCACTTCCTTTTATTAAAACATGACAGTACAGTAATGATAATTTACATGCAAGATAATTGTTCATTAGATTTTACATACAAGTTCAAACTTGCTTTATTTTGCAAATTAGTTTTTCATAAGGTATGATCTTTTTGGGTCACTTAGTACAGGGTTGTGATAGTTAAGACAGGTAGACATTTTTCACTGGTGTCTTGGGGAACATTTCAGACATTTCTTTAGGGTCATTCTGTAATGGGGCCCGGGGGTAATGGCTCTCTTTCGTTCCACTACACGGCCCTTAGTTAACTATACTTAAAAGAACCCAGAGCTCTACTATAGCCTTCAGTGTACTCCTTGCAATCTTAGACGATTGATCACCTTAGATACTACAAACACAAGAACTGTACTGGACCCTTAGCAAACTCTTGAGATCTTCTCAGCTACCACCACCAACCCATGCAAAAATAACTGTTAATAAATTGTGGGTTGGATCAATCAATTAACCATTAAATCCTTGAGAGTTAATCCCCAATTAATTGAAAAGGGATGGATGAATTTACGTTAAATGCGGATTAAACTCGAAAACCAAGGAATATATATGTATTTAAATAGATTAGGCTTGTTTGGAAAGTACCCTCAGCGACTCATTCAATAACCACTGGCTCGTGGACTTTTGTGGCAAAGACAATTATAGATATTCTTATGGGTGAACTCAAAACACAGAACTAGAAATTAATAAACAAATTTATTGAAACAAAATTAATAGTAATGGGGGAATTGAGCCTGACATTCCCTACTCTGAACACTCCCTAAACTGAAATGCATCCTACTAAAATATTTCCTATTCTATAGGCAATGAGTTAATGGACCTAAAATCAACTGTACCAACTCTAAGCACTTTACCGTTAAAACTTAAACCCAGCCTGATGTTCGCCTGGCCTTCTGGAGGCGAGATATTGACCTGCCAGCTGTCCACTATATACCAATCTACTCTCTGACCTCCAGACTGTAAGGCTAGATAGGATTACTCCGCCAGCCTCTCTGGTTGCTAGATTACTAAGCAAGGTTAATTGAACAAGCTGATCTTGTTTACTGGCCACCCAGATGATTGAATTCCTATTGAAACTGATAGTAATTCTCTAGGTTGTTGGGCCCAGCCATTTCCAATTACAATATTAAATAGCGACCTGAATATATAATTTATGAATTAACAATCCGGAAATTTATGATCTTCCCAGCCACATGACCTTGACCCAGGGTGGGTCAGAGACGAAGCCTGACGAAATAGTCCCCTATTCTAAATGACGTCACTGTCTCTTTGATAGCATAATAGCCTTAATAGCCTCTTTGATAGCCTTAATCTTTACTCTACATTCATGTTAACCTAAGTACTTAAACCAGATTGGTTATTACTACAATTACTGTATTGAATTATTCACCAATGTTGAATTAATACAAGGGAAACGTAGCCATTTTGTCTTCTACCCTCGCTAATCCTTTAATCTCTGGAGAGTGACCTTTTGTTTCTACCCAGGTGAAAAGTACTCTCTCACTGCAAAGCTTGTGTTCCCTATAACCCATATGATCTGAGATCTGTAAACTTCTAAAACAAGCTTAGCTTGTTACAATTCTAGAGGGGTACTGATGAGCATGCAGGTCAGCCAGGTATGACCACCACAAGTTATATAAACAAAAACATTTTTGTGCATATAATTTTAATCATTTTAATTTTCCTGAGATATTTTTATTTTTTTTTATTTTATTTATGCATATACAAGAATGTACATAAGGAATGTGAGGATACAATTATGGTAATTACAGTCTTGTAAAGCCACTAGCACGCGCAGCGTTTCGGGCAGGTCCTTAATCTAAGAAAATTTTAAGGAGGTAAATACTTGCAAAATTTATAGACAAAAAAATGATAACAGATTACATGGAATGAAAAAAAAAAAGATGAGAGAAAATTATAGGTACAGTATATTAAAGCACATAGGTAGCTATGATTGATTGCAATGACAGCTTAAAATGGTAGTTGACAACAAATTGGTAGGCACAATACAGCAGAAACAATATAAGATTGATTGCAATGACAGCTTGAATGGTAGTTGACAAAAATTGGTAGTCACAATACAGCATATGGCTAGCACATAAAAGAAGACAGCAATGAACACAGTGATAAGGTTGTTTGATATTACATAAAAATTAGGAGATTGGGTACCACTAGGTACAGAGCAAATTTAAAGCTCAGTGTAGGAAACTAAATAGATGAAGTTAGGTACTTCTTGGTTTTGCTTTTAAATAAGGCAAAAGTTTTACAGTTTTTCAATTCACTAGGGAGTGAGTTCCATAGACTAGGTCCCTTAATTTGCATAGAGTGTTTACACAGATTAAGTTTGACCCTGGGGATATCAAAGAGATATTTATTTCTGGTGTGGTGATAATGGGTCCTATTACATCTGTCCAGGGAGAGTTTCAGAGCATGGTTTGCATTTAAGAACAGGGTTTTGTAAATGTAGTTGACACAACAGAATGTGTGGAGGGAGTTAATATTTAGCAAGTTTAGAGATTTAAACAAGGGAGCTGAGTGTTGTCTGAAAGCAGAGTTAGTTATTATTCTGATAGCAGATTTTTGCTGTGTGATGATGGGCTTAAGGTGGTTTGCAGTGGTAGACCCCCATGCACAGATACCATAATTAAGATAGGGGTAGATTAGTGCATAATATAGTGAGAGGAGAGCAGAGTTAGGAACATATCTGATTTTGGAGAGTATACCAACTGTCTTAGAGACTTTCTTAGTTATGTGTTGAATGTGGGTGCTGAAGTTGTCTCTCTTGTCTAGGAATAGGCCAAGAAACTTGCCATCATTTTTATTACTGATGTTAATGTTGTCTATCTGTAGCTGAATTGCATTTGATGATTTGCTTCCAAATAAGATGTAGTAAGTCTTTTCGATGTTTAATGTTAGTTTGTTCGTTGACATCCATAAGTGGACTTTTTTTAATTCATTATTCACAACATTATTTAGTGTATGTGGGTTGAGGTTTGAGTAGATAAGGGTAGTATCGTCAGCAAACAATATAGGTTTGAGAATATTAGAGACATTAGGCAGATCGTTTATATATATAAGAAATAGAAGAGGTCCTAAGATGCTGCCCTGTGGCACTCCAACGGTAATTGGTAGAGTGGAAGAAGTTGTATCATTGATGGTTACATATTGGTGTCTGTCACTAAGATAGGATCGGATGTAGTCAAGGGCAAGGCCTCGGATTCCATAATGCTGGAGTTTAAGTAAGAGGTAGTTGTGATTAACAGTATCAAAGGCTTTTCTTAGGTCAATGAAGAGTCCAATCGGAAACTCATTTTTGTCAAGGGCTGAGTAGATAATGTCAAGGAGACTAATGATTGCATCATTGGTACTCTTTTGGGACCGGAAGCCAAACTGGCAGGGGCTGAGTATGTCGAATTTTACGAGGTAGGAATAGAGCTGTTTGTAAATGATTTTTTCAAATATTTTTGATAGAATGGGTAGATTTGATATTGGTCTATAATTGTTTATGTCCGCCGGATTGCCTCCTTTATGGACTGGCGTTACTCTTGCTTTTTTGAAGATATCAGGGAAGGTGTGACACTCTATAGATTTGTTGAACAGTAGTGCTATGGGTGGGGCAAGGGCATGGGAGGCTCTCTTGTACACAATGGACGGAATTTCACTGGTGTTCCCTGCCTTGGTTTTTAGAGAGTGCATGATGGACACAACATCTGCCGGGCTGATTGGTGAAAGGAGAAGAGAGTTTGGATAGCTGCCTGAGAGATATGTGTTAATATGTGTCTGAGTCTGTGGGATTTTACTGGCAAGATTAGCACCAACCGATGAAAAGAAACTATTAAATTCATTTGCCATTTCTAAATCAGTTGACGGTATATCCCCATCCTTGTAGAGTTTTATTTGGTTATGTGAGTGTTGTTTAGTTCCTAGGATACTAGAGATAGTTTTCCAAGTGTTTTTCATGTTGCCTTTTGCTTCATTGAATCTATTCACATAATATGCAAGTTTTGCCTTTCTTATGATACTGGTAAGCATTGATGAGTACCTTTTAGCTACTTCCTTTGAAACTAGGCCAATCCTAACTTTCTTTTCATATTCATGTTTCTTGTTGATTGAGTTGAGAATGCCACTTGTGAGCCATGGATTGTTTAATCTTTTGTCAGTTACTTGCTTTGTAAGAAGGGGACAATGAAGGTTGTAGAGGCTTAGAGTTTTGGAGAGGAAGAGGTTAGCTAATGAATTTATATCATGGGTATTATTGAATTCAGAATCCCAGTTAATATTGTGAAGTGCCTCTGTAAGATTGTCTAAAGCTGATTCACTGTGTAGCCTAAATGAAAGTTTCTTGCTTTTTGGTGGTGTTATGTCCATGTTAGCTATGAGAAAGGTAGGATAGTGGTCAGTTGTTCTGTCGTAGATTATACCAGATACAAGGGGAGCTGTTATGTTTGTCCATATGTGGTCCAAGGTAGTGGCTGATGTTTGAGTGACTCGGGTAGGTTTGGTGATAGTGGGGATTAGCATACAGGAGTTCATGCTGTTAAGGAAATAGTCAACTTGAGAGCAGTTTTGTTGACCCAGGTCAATATTAAAGTCTCCTCCCAGAATGATGTGGTTTTTGTTGAGATTGTTGTTTATAATAAGATTCCTTAGGTTGTCTGAGAAAGAAGCTATGTTAGTATTAGGAAATCTATAGATGGCTCCAATAGTCAAAGAGGATTTAAGGGATTTAATTGTAAACTGAGCAAAAGTATATTCACAGTAGTCATCTCTGTCACTAATAACACTGTTGCAGATAAATGTATCTCGGTAATATATAGCTGTGCCACCACCTTTTTTATTAGGCCTACAGTTATGAATGGCTTTATAACCAGCTAAGTTGTAGAGTTGGGTATAGTCTTTATTTAGCCAAGTTTCTGTTAAAATAATGAACGATAGGTTAGTACCTAGTGCTGTGAGTAGTGCATTTAAATCGTCAAAATGTTTACCAAGTGATCTAACATTTTGGTTATAAACTGATAGATAGGTGCTATTTTGGAGTTTGTTTTTAGCCTGGTGTGCTGTAAAATACTTACTGACTTAATTAATATGATGGGAAGATACTTCTCCTGATCAACTAGGATCTAAACATACCTACATTATTTATATACATATAATGGGACCATTAAAGAATATGGTATACATCATTGTTTTTATATCTTCCTGCTCTGGACTTTGATGTTCAGTGTCTAATGTATTATGTTTATTTGTCAACAGTGTTAGTATACCAGTGTCACCTGATGGCTGACAACTGTGGAATGTGTTTAAGTCTGCTGGAGCGCTTCAAATGTGGCTGGTGCCAATCAACAGGCCGGTGTGAGGTTCAAGATCAGTGTCTCGGGGGCTCGTGGCTGGACCGTGATCGCACGTGTCCAAACATTAATATCACCGATTTCTTCCCTAAGAGTGGACCCTGGGATGGTGGTACAAATGTTACTATCAGAGGTACGTAATTTGTAGTCTATAAATTTTAATGCTTTACATAAGTACTGTATATAGTGTTTGCATTTACTAAATGAAAGAAGACGACAAAAAATAGAATGTTTATGCATGAGTAGCCGTCTGTATTATATGCCATGGCTGATATAAAGATGGTAAGACAAGTACTGTACTGAAAATGTATATGAACTTTTATGTTGCTTACTAATATTCAACTTGCCCATTTATTCATATTTATTCTGTCTTGAAGAGAGAGCCAAGATTGTGGTAGTAAAACATGAAAATTCTTGTTGCATGAGGTTATAAGGCAACTGTGTACATAATGTGTGTATCTAGGTTTATATACAATAATTGTAATGTATTTATCAGAAAATTGCTTTAGGCTGCTTTATTTCAATATATATATATATATATATATATATATATATATATATATATATATATATATATATATATATATATATATATATATATATATATATATATATATATATATATATATATATTACAGTATTTATACTGTAGTATAAATATTTATTTAAATTTATTTTTTAGTGATAAAAATTAGCAGGATTGTTGTGATAATTAGTGCTGTGTGCAAGAAGTAATGCTGAGGGAGGGAGGGAGGCAGGGAGATAGCGTCGTTTGCTGACTGTGTGGCCACCTGTTATTGTCTGCATTCACCATACCAGCTCAGTGGTTCTCTATGGTGAACACAAATGTAGATACTTATATATAATGTGTGTATTAGTGTAATAACAGCAAAAGTATTATGTTAGGAGGAGCCATTTGGGTGACGGAGGTGGCTTCATCTGCATGACTTGTCTAGCTGTGTAGAGGGTGGCCACTATGCTCTTTGGGCACCCTACAAGCTTGGGTATACAGTTACAGTGCATACAACATGTAGATACTTATATATAATGTGTGTATATAGGGTAATAACACTACAAATAGTATTGTTGGAGGAGAAATTTTAGTGCGCTTGACCTTGAATGAGTGAGAGGGGCAACCGTCAGCTGACTGTGTGTAGCAACGTCTCTTAGTGCCTGAACTAACTATATCAGCTTAGTTATACAGTTGTGGGGAACAAACCATATAGATACTTATGTATAATGTGTGCATATAGTGTAATAACAGCAAAACTATTTGTTTATTGTTTTATGAACGTAATAATTGAATCACTAATATGAACACCATACTTTTGAGTATAGCAATGATTCACACATTTTATTATATAAATCTATCACACTACACACTATTGAATAATATTACTGCAAAAAACTAAGAAAAAATAAGTCGGAGACATTGAAATAATTAGGTAATAATATCTTTGTACCAAGATCCCACCTGACAGCTTGGGTGACACTGACCGCCTCTGACAACTGCTCTGTCAACGCCCACATTTTGTCAGACTTCCTCAGCCATTTGTGCCCAAAATATGTCGCTTACGATTTTTTTTGTGCTCAGAGATTGAGCTCAGAGAACACAAATTAACATTTTTAGAAGACGAAAAAATTTAAGAATTTTTTTTCTTGCGCACAGGGGTGTAAATCTCCTCAGGACCCCTTGGCAGCTTAAGGGTTAAAAGAGTGATTTTTAAAATTAAAATTAATGTTCATCTTACTTATAATTAGTTACTTTTTACCTTCCCTCAAATTTTCATGGTACACCTATGGACCCTTCATGGCATGCTGGGTGGGAAAACCCAGCTTTAGGGAGCAGGCGAGAGAGATGCATAGTAATTTACACTTGGGGAAAATATTAGGAGGACTGGTTCCAAATCTAAACATGGAAATAACTCCATGTGAATCCCAGTAGGCATGGCAGGATGTACAAAATAGCCCAATTTAAAAGAGGAGGTGCATTGGGTATACCTAGAGAATATCAACATCAAGGACCATCATCACATCTTTATAACACTCATTCTACACATAAGGGGCATAGCTGACTGACCTCTCAGTGTTCAAGAGAGAACTTGATAAACACCTCCAAAGGATACCTGATAAACCAGACTGTGATTGATGTATCAGGCTGTGAGCACCTGTGTCCAATAGAATTGGTTGCCCAGGCCATCAGCCAGCAGGCCTGGTCAGAGACCAGGCCACACTGGTCCCTGTGTGTGGCCTGGTCAGAGATCAGGCCACACACAGGGACAATGATCCTTGGAATCAACAACAGGTAGGTATGTAGGAAGTATTGCAGTGAAAGGGCTAAAGGGTGTTTGAAAGCTAACATACTAATGGCAACTAATATGCAATACCAGGTATAACAGTATACAATTATATCTAGCTATGTCTTACCAATCTGTTAATGCTTTAAATAAAAGAAATTAATTTTGTTATGAATTGTGGCAGTATTAGAACTGACAGACTAAACTGAATTATATACATTTAGTAAGTGACTGTCTAAAATAAGTCATTATAATGCAGTATTTGAATATACCTGTAATGTGTAAACTGATGAAAGCTTTGCAATTGTCAGGTCAAGATTACAGTATTTACACTTTATATATATATATATATATATATATATATATATATATATATATATATATATATATATATATATATATATATATATATATATATATATATATATATATATATATATATATATATATATATATATATATATATATATATATATATAATTTATTTATATATATATATATATATATATATATATATATATATATATATATATATGTATATATGTATATATATATATATATATGTCGTACCTAGTAGCCAGAACTCACTTCTCAGCCTACTATGCAAGGCCCGATTTGCCTAATAAGCCAAGTTTTCATGAATTAATATATTTTCTCTAATTTTTTTCTTATGAAGTGATGAAGCTACCCATTTCATTATGTATGAGGTCATTTTTTTTTTATTGGAGTTAAAATTAACGTAGATATATGACCGAACCTAACTAACCCTACCTAACCTAACCTAACCTATCTTTATAGGTTAGGTTTGGTTAGGTAGCCGAAAAAGTTAGGTTAGGTTAGGTTAGGTAGTCGAAAAACAATTAATTCGCCCTGAGTAGTGCGTTCTGGCTACTAGGTACGACATATTATATATATATATATATATATATATATATATATATATATATATATATATATATATATATATATATATATATATATATATATATATATATATATATATATATATATTATAATAATAATAATAATAATAATAATTACAAAAAATATACAATGGAACCTTGATTCGACGAATCTCCGGTTGGAACGCACACTTTCCAGGTCATATTTACTCACCTGATTCAACGAACAAGAGTTCACTGGAACAGGGGATGTGCTGGTTTGCTTATGATGGAGGAACAGAGTTCATAGACTGGTGGAAAAGTTGTCCCATCATATCATAGGATAAAGTTAATTAATCTCTTTGTGAAATCATCCAGAAGAGCATAGGAAATATAAGGTAACAGGCTAGACATGTTGCCAGGCTTAGCAGACTCAGGCTAGACATGCTGCCAGGCTTGGCAGACCCAGGCTAGACATGCTACCAGGCTTGGCAGACCCAGGCTAAACATACTGCCAGGCTTGGCATGCTGCTAGGCTAGACAAACTGGGTGTAGACCGAGTGTCAGGCTAGATAAACTGGGTCTGGATATTGTCAGTCTAGACAGACTATCAGGCATGACAGGTTGTCACGTTAGACGATACTAGACTTGACAGGCTGTCAGGCTAGACATACTATCAGGCTGTAATGTACAGGCTGCACAGAGTCTGTGCCACAGACTGCCAGACTAGACAGAGAACAATGGCCAGACATTATCACACCTCTCCTTCCGGTCCACCCCCCCCCTTCACCCCCTCCCTCTATCCTGCTCACCCTCCCCCCCCATCCCCCTTTATCCAGCTCACCCTCCCACCGCTCCCTTTACCAGCTCAACCCCTCACCCCTCCCTTACCAGCTCAACCCCTCACCCCTCACTTTACCAGCTCAAACCCCCCTACCCCTCCCTATTTGCTGTAGGATGATGTAACATCATATGTCTTAAATTGTGTCAAAACCCATTTTATATTCTTGTAAATATGTAAATTAATATGTATACAACCAAATGCTGCACAAATATTACTTTATTATTTAAAATTAGTAACCAGCCCTACAGGGCAAAATTTAAAATACTGTACTGTATATGATTAAAAAACTCCTGTGACACCTCTGACCGGTTCATAGAATTACCCAAATCTACCCAAATCTACCCAAATTCTGCTAGCATTACGTAAGTAATGAAGGAATATGGTATATTTACTCGCTATAATGTTGGCGCTGAATGCAGAACATAATCAAACCTATTTTTACTCTGAAATATTGTAATCTAATTTCATAACAAAATTAGAAGTAAATATGTAGCAGGTGATGCCATAGGAAGTCAACGGTCCAAATGACAATGTTGTGGAGTGACTTATCCAAGGCATATGGTTGCCTGGAGTGTGTTTGCTGCCATATCAGCCTCCTGTACACAGTGATTCAGTCGTTGCACTTCATTGTTCAAATTGTTGCAAATTTAATTGGTGATACAGGTATTAACAAGTAGAATGCACATTTATAACAACATCTTTCATAAATAGTCACAAAATATTTAATATTTATTTAAAAAAAAGTGTCTGGAAGTTAAATCAACTCCACAGGACAATAATTTTGTTATATAGATATTAATGTTATTCGTTGGTATGCGTTCGCTACTTAAACAACTCGTGTCCTTTTCGCTCATCGAACACTGTACCCTACATGCTCTGATATATTGCTTAATTAATAGATTCACAAATAAAGATTATATTTGAATATGTTATGTTTTTTCATGTGGGGGATCTTTCAACTTCGTGTCCCCAGTGTCGGAGTCTCAAGAGAGTCCGCTCATTGCCCCTGAAGGTCAAGGCGTCAGGTTAGATTTAGGGATGGTGGGGTCTTATGGCAAGAGGCTCTTCCCAAGTGGGCCTTAAGGAAATTCATTCTCTTCCAAGCCACCAT